AAAAATAAAACTTTGTAGATATTATGAATTGTTAAGATTTGGGTTTGCATGTAAAAATCAAGTTTATGGAAAATAAATTAGAAGGTAATTATTAAGAAATTGATGTTGAGATTAAATATTTGAGTTTGATTTTCTTCATCCTTCACATATTCGAAGTTTTCCATTACATGCATGGTAAGTTTTCAAGATTTTAAAATTTAATTCATATTTTAAAGTTTATGAGTTTGAGATTAAATTCTGATATAAATTAAGAAGTCAAATTATAAAATTGAGCTTGATGATGTAAAAATTGGTTGGATTTGGTAAATGTTTTATACATGCATTTTGGATTTTGAGGAACTTAAGGTAAACAATTTCATGTTTTGAAGAGAAGAAGGAAGAAATTTTATAAGAAAAATCAAGTTTATGGAAAATTAAACATTGAATATAGAAGAATTAATTAGTTTTTAATCTTAATGTCATGCATGCAAATATTTTCCTAAGGGTCATATAACTTCAATTTCATGTACATTAAAAGGAATTAGAAAAATGGTGTAGAATTGAATTAGATTCAAAATTATAGAAGTTAATTCGAAAATAACCCTTTTTGGTTTGAATTTATTTGTCTTATATGAAATTGAGTCATTCAAGTTCTTTTTGAAGAGATGAAGGAAATGTTTTAAGAAAGTCAAGTTTATGGAAATTTGGAATTACTCCTAAAGTTTTGAATTTATAATTAAATTTTTATTTAATCCATGCATGTGATGTAATTTAAGAATTTTATTCAATTTAGATACATTTTAGAACACCCATGATTATAAATCAAGTATTTGGTTAAGAATTGAGTTAAGTTGATTTTGTTATTAATAGTAAGATTGGATCTATTTGTATTATATACATCATGGAATTTCAAGAGGTTGGGAAGTCTAATTTATATTTTAGAATTGTGGGTTGATGTTACTAAGATGAATTAAAACTAAATTTAGGCAATTGGAACATGATTTTAAATGAATTGTTTATTTAAACTTTGTACAATTGTTTATTATTGTGTGACGTGTGTAATATTTCATGTTCGAATTTTTATGAGTTGGTATAACATTATTTGTGATAAAAAAAAAATTGGAATTATTTGTGATTAATATCAAAATTAACTGAAAGGATTAAAGGCATATACAAAGTTAATAATTGACGGTTAATACCAGTTTTCAGAGTGAGTCTTGGTTTTAAAGAGTGTATGAAATCAAGGGATTGACGGTTAATACCGGTTGTTCAGAGTGAGCCCTGGTTTTGAGAATTCTCACGTAAATTGTGTTGCGAAACTCTAAGATGGCACGGGACTTATTTGAACCCTTTTCGGTATTTAGTTTTGGAATAAGGGTGGATGTGCTGGTGGCACACAGGGAGGTTACGTACCCCTGGCAGACCGTTTCCTTGGGGCAGACCACGGATGCTACTACTTGGGTATATAACTCCGGACGTGGGCATCCCTGGTAGTTACGGTTGGTAACACTTAAATATTTGACCAAGGGAGGGTTTCAAATTAACCATTGCCATGCTGAGTGGTTGGTGAGTTCAATCTCTTTGGTGAGATTTCAAGTGTCGCCTAATTTATTAAAATTATGGAAATTATTTTAATGGTTGTAATTCATGTTTACAATTATATTATTATCTCGTGTTTATAATCTCATTATTTTTCTCTTAAAAAGAATGGTAGGTTGGTTATGTTTCCTTACTGTGTTGCAAAACTCATGGCATATATTTTTGTTGCCCTGGCGTTTTATGCCAGGTCTTGGCGAGAAAATAATTGAAGCTGAAATGGAGTTGACGCTAACGTAGAGCCTTGGCTGACCTGAAACCTCGAGTAGAGCCGAATAAATTATATTATTTGATATAATAGCTATTAAGGACGTTATAATTTCATTTGATGTTGTATTTGGGTAATTTTAAGTTTTTATCTATTGTTATTTGGACATTCGATTATGTACGAGAGCTGGATTACCCTATTAAGATGTCAACTTTCTGGTTTATTAAGTCATTTTGTTTATTTAATTTCCCTTGATATCAAAAAAAAAAAATTTTGGGGCGTCACATTTTCTCTCCGTCAAATTCCATTCATGTGGGGGATTATTGGAAAAATTGATTTATATAGGCATATTTTGGGCCAACTTTGAGCCCAAAATTGAGTGGACCCCAAAACATCTGTTGGGGTGGGTTCGAAGAGGTGAAGTGTTCCTTGCCGCGTGACAAGTCACACGGTGAAGAAGGAACGTCAAAACCATTTATGAGTGAGTGGAAAGTTGACGTCATTTTCGGGTCTATCATTAATTTTTTAGATAAAATTCATTTGAATTTTTTCAATAAAAAAAAAATTATTGTGGGAATTTAATTTAATTTTAAATTCAAATTTTGGGTTCCTAAATGCTTTCCTAAAGTTTGTAATTGTGGGAATTTAACTTAATTCTAAATTCAAATTTTGGATTCCTAAGTGATTTCCTAAAATTTGTACCTCTTCCTTTATTTATTATACTATTCAAATAGTTTAATATATATATATATATACCTAATAGTTATTAATAATAAAGTTCCAAGCAATTCTTTGTTTGACCAACGGACAACTTTTCAAATTTGTTTGAAATTTTGTTCTTTCCTACGGTCAAATCTTATATTCAAATTGTGAATAGCTTTGCACCTGTTCACTTCGGAATTGCATTTGTTCGGGTCAGAGCTTGTTGCCTATATATACCAACATACTAGCAATGTGTTAGGATCCGAAAAAATTGAGTCTGCATCCTATATACTGCTGTCCAGATTTTTTCTCTTTTGCATTCTATTCCTCATTCTAGTTTTTTTAGAGATATTTTAAAGAGAATATTAGAACACAAGGTTTGGTTCGCCGTACAAATTTGTTTTGTGTGCTACAACAATTTTGTGAAGATCATTGTATCCTGGGAGATAGACACCATTCAACCGTAAGCACCATAGCGAGGCGAATCTGTCTTAAGGACAGAGTGTCACACATTCGACTTGGTCTTTTGATTTTATTTGGTTCGACAAAATAAATTCTGTAAGTTTTATTGTATTTTGTTTGAAGTTGTTTCGATTTATTTTATTTACACAGAAGATTGTTCCAACAAACACTTCATCCGAAACCTCCTTCGAAATAGCTCGTATACATGCGGTTTTCAGCAAAATAGTCGGGAAAAAAGCTTTTCAATGACTTTTGAATATGATCACGATGAATGACTTTACAACCTCGAAGAGAACCATGACGTGAGCTTGATCTTATCTCACTATCTAGTAGTTCTTCATCCATAATAACAGCGTTGAGTATCTCCAAATCATCATCAGATTTAGAGAAGTCAGAGTCATTTATAAGCATATCATAAAGAAAATTGGAAGTCATAGAGAAAGAGATGGAAGTTTGGATGAAGAAGAAAAATTGGCTTGAGGGTAAGATCAAATGAGAGAGAATGTCTTACTTATAATTAAAAAGTAAAAAAATACGACGGTTGGAAAAATATGACGGTTTGAATAATACGACCGTTGCAAAAATATGACCGTTTAAAAAATATGACCATTACAAAAATATAATTGTTACAAAAATATGACCGTTTGAAAAATACGACAGTAGAAAAATGTAACTTTTATAAAAATATAATTATATTTAAAAGAATGAAAAAAATAATAATTTGAAAGAAGGAAGTTAGTTTTTTTTTTTTTTTAGAAGGAAAAGAAGGTAGTTAAAGTATAAAAATATTTTAATAGAAGATAGCTAAAATAGATAGTCTTGTTAAAGTGTATATTAAAAAAATGACTAACTAAAATAGTAAAGTAAAATTTTAAATAGTTATTTTAACTATCCTTATTAAAGATGCTCTAATTTCGTATCCAATTCATCTTCTATTTACATGTCATGTCGAAAATTCTCACCTTACTTTCATTCTTTCCATCCACCTTGTGAGAACATACACACTGTAAAAAGAAGTTCGCAAGTGTGTATTTACCATAAAATAACTCAAAACAAAATCACAATAATTCATAATTTTGTTCGTCAAAATGATTCGTAACTTTCAAATATCCACAACATAAATACCAGTGCATTTCATAACTAAAACACAATAATTTATAAGTAACACCATAAAATGCATAATAGTCTTTCCCCAAATTTTAACTTAACAACCAACTTCCTTCTAAATAAAAAATTCCATCAACACAAAAGCAAAAGTAGTGTTTGGTTTAATTTTAAAATCATGATTTAAAAATGAAGTTGTATTTTTAATTTGTGAATTGTTAAATCATGATTTTTAAAAAAAAAACTGTTTAATTATGAATTTTGAAAAGAATTTTGAATTGATTTTTGAATTTTTAAAATAAATTTTGAAATAAAAAAAATTGTTTAGTTATGAATTTTGAAAATTCAAAACTCAATTCAAAAATTTATCACTCAAAACCAAATGCACAACTAAAAACTTTATTAAAAATTTTATTCAAAACTCATAATTAAATTTTTTTAAAATTTAATTCAAAAAAATAATTATTGATAAAAATAAATTTTTTATTTAAAAAATTCAAAAAATTCTGAAAGTATATTTTTATTTAAAATATTTAAAAATATATATTATTTTTTGTTAAAAAAAATATTTAACTATTGTTTTACAATTACTTTTGATTGTATATTTGATTAGAATTTTTTTTAATTGTTTTGTTTAAAAATATATATTTTTTATTTTTTTAAAATCAATGTGACAAATATATTTTTATTTACATTTTTTTTAATTTTAAATAAATGACCAAATAATTTATCATTTTGGTCTAAAAAAAATAATTTATATAATTAAAAAATATCAAAAACAAATATAATTTTTTTTTCAAATAACAGGTGACAATTGCAACAACAACAAAAAAAAAAAAACACTGTTTTGGTCAACTGAGCGAACGACCGGATAGACCCAAAAATTCAAAAACTCTCTAATTACCAAATAAATTTTCAAATGTGTCTTGAAATGTGATTTGGAATCATATTTTGAAAACTTTAATCGAACAGAGGTTTGGAATATAAGGGTGGAATCATGATTCCAGAATTGAACCAAACAGAGCCCAAGATTTTCCCATGCATAACAAAGCAAATATAATTTACAAATCGGAGGAAAAAACTAGAATCATCACTCTCCAATGACAGAAATTTCAGTAAATTTGCAATAGATTAAAACAAGAAACTCAGAAACCTCCAATTTGCAGCCTAATCCTTCTTGGAACCGCTAGGCAACTCATCCTGCCAAGTTGCTTGCCACTGCTTGTCATAAAAAGTACTTTCTTCCACAAGCTTTTTTATGGTTTCTATGTCCTCGTTCTTTCGAATCACAAGCACACCAACTACAGCTACAAACAAGAGTGTTTTACAGAAAAAGTTACCCATTTGGTCCACAAGACCTACCCCTGTCAAGCTGTCCACCAGGTAAGCCATGAAGAACCCTATCATCGCAGCACGGCCTGTGTATAAATCACCAGAAAGCATAACATATATCAGTATAACGTAGCACAGGATTTCTTTGGATGACTTTGGGAAAAAAGAAAAGTCTGAGCACACCATTGAGGAGTTCAGCCTCAGGAAGATGGAACCTCTTCATCCATGCCCACCAGGGAATGATAGATGTGTCGAAAGCTATGGGGTCATCATTACTAGATGATTCTGGATTGTCTTCGAGCCATTTCCTCCTCCTAACCTCTGAAAAAGGATTACCCAAGAAAGTTCATCAGAAATCATGTAAAGTCGTAAACCCTGAATTATTCGAGGAAAATGATATGTTAACGACAACAATAGAATTCTCTGTTTCCCAGAAGGAATATATGATAAGGGAAAAAAAATTATATTTGAAGTGTCATAATCCCATAGGGCGACAGATATTCACAAAATATGTACCAAGCAAGCAACTGGGATCAACTAATATAACAGCCAAAAAAAAGAGAGTCAAATAAATGACTAGAAAATGATGATAAGTTGATACAACACAAAAATAAGGGCATTTGAAGGATTCAGTGAAATTCTGTGATGATCTTATCGTAAACATACACTTAAAATGAACCATCCAAATATGATATAATAACAAAAAGGAATATCTACATTTCCATGACGCTCCTGATGCCCTTTGGTGTATGGCAAAGGCAAGAATTATTGCATCTAGAAAAAGATAAGCAGCTTATTTACAAAATCACACTTTTTTTAACTTTGAATCCAGATAGGTTGACTTTTCCATAAATGTTATAAATGGTTTACAACTCAAAACAGAATACACGAACAATATCTTGTGCACCAACAATGACAGCATTTCCTTCTACCCAATTACTTGACTGATAGCCCGACATTACGCTATTTTAGCTGTCATGTGACAAAGCTCAAATATAACAGTCACCAAGAAATTCTAAACTCAAGTATAAACCCTCTCAATTCATTGATCAGTATCCCTAGAAAAAATTCCAGTAGCACGGGTGACAGCCTAAACATCAAATTTTCATAAAATCACAGAGCAACTGGAAAATCTTAAGTAAGGCATGAAATATCAGGGAGCAGCTACATTACTTTGTTCACAATATACTCATTTTCTCACGAGTTTCACTTGATAAGCAATATCAATGTTACGCAAAATGTATACGTCAATGGTTGAAAACCATAATGACAAAAGGATGATATGCTAAATTTAGGCTATTAATCCCCATTCCAACATATAGAATTCCTGACAAATCATAATTTACATATGGTGTCTTTGCAAACCTCAATTCACATCGCTTTTTGCCATTGTTCTATTCTATCTTAGTCATGTAGATTATGACGAATCAATTTAAAAAGTAAAACAAGAAGCAGAGATAACATCAGCGATGCCTAAGTGGTGGAACTAGATACTACATAGAGTATGAGATGGATGTAGTCATACAAAAAGTACCTAAGATAGGAAGTGGTGCTTAAATACATATTTGTAATAACTTATGTTTGGAATGAAAAGGGATAAAGAAAATTGTTACAAAATCAAGAATTTCAAACTAATAAATTCTTACATAAATTACTGTAGTTTGGGCAAGATTTTTTATTTTTTTATTTTATTTTTTAAAGATGTTTTGGATAAGTAAGGTTCTCACTAAAAAAGGTACCAAAATGAGGACACCACACTATTAGAGGAGCCAGGAAGCATATACTGAACCAAATAAAATTGACAAGCTTGTACATTCCTATGCAATTCTACACATTCCAAATCTCAATAAAGTATTGACAGAGACCTGACATATACGTCAACAATACTCTACATCTTTGAGGAAGGCTTGCTGGCATATGTTGGCCAATACAGCTGGTATTATATGATCAATAATGTTTAATAAAACTCAATTAGAAAATTATTTTTAAAATTTTGTGATTATGGTGAATTGGGGGTGCAAGCTCTATAATTTTGGGGGTGTGAAACCTTATAATTTTGGGATTTCCTTACTAATTCCTAATATAATATGAGGGTTTTTCAAATTTGAGGGGGTGCGGTCACCCCCCCTCTAGATTCATCAAAGCAATTGGGACCACCCACCACAACTACGGTACCGCCCCATAATATGAAAGATAGGATGCCTCTTTTGGAGATGCTTATTCACCGTTACTAAATAAAGCATTAATCGTTTCACTGAACATTAATACTGCACATGCAGCATCGGCAATCATGTAGATATTTATCCATACGGCCCAAACAAAATTATTTGATGCGTACTAACAAGCCTATTCCACAGAAAACTCTCATTCAAACATGACTACCCACTACAATTAACACTCTTCTGACAATAAAGTATAGTGATCATTCAGTTCAATGATAGCAAGAGGATCCTCAAAATCAGATTACCCAGAATCTTTAATGCCATCAGCAAAAAAAAATCTTAAAAAAAAAAAATTACTACGTGCCAAGATTATTCACATTCCTATCTGCCAACAACCACAGCCACATGTAATTTTGGATCAATTTATTAATTTGTGGTTGAGTTTCTCAGTTTATATCACACATGTTCAACACATAATATAATTAAAATCCCAATGCCAAGTAATTATTGTAACACTCAAAGGTCCATTTCTTTTCCATGTATATATTTTCTAGAAAATTAGATAGGGCTCCAACTTTGAAATGTGTCAAAAGGAAACAATTTGGCAAAAATTTCAGGACAGAAAAAAAAAAAAAATTAAACCACCAACAGATGAAATAAATTAAAAATTCAAGCTTTTGCATAAGAGATAATCTAAAATAGAAATTGATTATAGCACCAAAAAACCAAATTTAAAAAAAAAATAAAAATGGCACAAGAGCTTAAAAGGGCTTTACCAGCATCAATCAGAGTGTCCCAATCGGTCTTCCCATCTCTCTGAAACTGTTTCAAATCCCAAGTCCCTCCAACCCATCTGGGATCCGCAAATTTCGCCACCGCATCCACGGCGGCCGGAGAACCATTGGGCCCCAAAGAACCGTCGTGAGACTCCGATTTCAGCTCAGAATCGACCGCCGGAGCTTCAGAAACCTTCTGGTCCTCTACAATGGCAGCAGAGGCCACATTTCCAGACCCATTGTCGGTGGCTTTTGTGGGGACCAAGAAGAGGTGTTTCTTGGGTCTGAGAGAAAGATAAGGCTTGTTGGTGAGTTGGGTTTTTGGGGAAGAGGAGGGAGGTAGAGTTGGGAGGTGGGTTGGAGGTGACGAGAATAGAGCCATGGACATTTTGTTGTTTGTGTTGGAGATGGAAGTGCAGAAGAAGCTTAGAATGGACTATCCTCAACCATAGAATATGAAGGTTTTGCTTTGTTGTCTAGGTTAGTGTAGTGACGACTAAAATTTTAAAAAGAGGTAAATTGCACATTGTCCCTTTAAAATGTTATTTTATTTTTGACCCTTAAAATAGTACATATTTTAAGATTTAATTCATCAGCTATTTGAATTTTATCACCATGATCCAATTAGTAGTGGTTCATATTTTGGGAGACGAAAATGACCTTGTGATGCTATGATTTTTAACATTTTAGTGGTTGTTGAAGATGAGAATCGATTGATGTGTTTGTTGAAAATAGGAAATATTAATTGTGATGGTGATGTTAGGTTGCTAATAGGTAATATTGAGAAGTAAAAGGTTAAAAGAAGTTATTAACGATTGGTGGAGACGGTGGCATTAAGATTGCAATGAGTAATAATAAAGAGTAAAAAGTGATTGTCGAAGATGAGAAATGAGTAATGTGCTTATTGAAAATATAAGATATTAAGAATGATTGTGACGTTAGGTTGCTAATTAGTAATAATAAAAAATAAAAAGTAAAAAAAGGCTTGTTAACAATAGATAGGGACTGTGGTGTTAAGGTTGTAATGTTTAATAGTAATAAGTATAAGGTGGTTGTTAATGTAGGTGGAGATGATGGGAAATTTTTCATACACCATTTACTCTCTATCAACACACTTATCGAATTTTTTTTGTTACATTTTTGTTCTAAAATGAAACTACCAAAATACCCCTTTCTCTTTTAATCAAAACACTAGCCACTACCTACTACTAATGGCCATCATCGACCACCGTTCGTCACCACTCACCACCTCTAAACCCTAACCCTAAATATGGTAATATCTTCATTCCGTCGCCGCCTCACCATCACACCACCCTTACATAACCTTCTCTACCATCGCAAGCATCATGGAACCTAGATTTGGGGAAAAGACTCATTTTCTTACCATTCGGACTACTAGTATCGAAAGAATCACTTCCATTCAGAAATTAACTATCGAACCAATGAATTTCGTTCGATCATCAACATCCGAACAAAAACATATTGGTTTGACCTTCAACATCCGAACACATTAGTTCGACAATATATTTTCGAACCTTACATATTAGGTTGATACTGTACTTTCGAATGAAACAGAAAAATGTATGTTTATTAATTTTTTGCAAGAAATAAAAAAAAAAAAACCAATGACGAATTTTAAAATGGAGGTCTTCCATGGAGGTCCTTCAATAAGAGTTTATCGGAATTTTAAAATTTGAAACACAATTAAATGGAAATTCAAATTTGGTGTGTACGTTGGGTGAGTTTGTAGGTGGGGATGGCGACTAAAAGTGAAACGGAGGTGGTAATGGTGGTATTGTGTCATCGTCGATGAGATGGTTGTTGGTTAGGATTAGAGTCTGAGGATGAAGAATATAAGAGTGTGTACACATTTTTTTTTTAAATGGATATATTTGGAATATGGAGTATGTGGACTAAGATAAATATCTAAAAATTAAATTATTAAGTGAATGAAATGAGAAATGATGTGCGTAGAGACAATATACTGTATGTTTGGTTTGAGTTTGAGAGATGAGTTTTAGAGATAAAAAGTACAAAAAGTTGTTTGATTTGGTTTTTTTCAAAAGATGTTTTGAAAAATTATTTTGAGAGAGAGTTTTGGAAAAAGTGATTGATTTGATGTGTATGAGAGAGAGATTTGTTTGGAAAACTTGTAAACCAAACAAGTTTTGAAAATTCTTTTTAGGAAAATTTATTTGGTTTGATGACTTTTAAAAACTTATTTATAGAGAATTTTTTCTAAAAATTTTTGAGAAACACAAACCAAACAAGGCCAGAATTTTCCGGAGACGATGCTAGCTTCGTTTCAACGTTGATATTGTGAGCCTTGTGATATAAATTTCTATTAAACAATAATATAAAAATAGTTTGTCGTTCAATATATATATATATATAAACAATTTAGTACCTACCACATTACTTAAGAAAGTGGTTTGCTTCTCCACTATAATTTACATAAATTTTCACCATCAGTAATGAAAGATAAAATAAAAATAAAAATAAAAATAAAAAGTTATAGAGAATAACGGATAAAGCAATAATTTAATACTTTTGCCAATATGAAAGGTCTACCTAATTTTCAAGATATATATCTATATAACAAAACAACTCTTTTTTTTTTTTTTTGGATGGGACTTCTGTCTGTTTGTCAAAATATGAACCATTGGATTGAACTCAATCCAAAGGCTCACAATGTCTCACTCTATTTGATCCAAGATCATTTTCAACCCACAGCCCGTCTCTCAGACACACACTCTCATCTCTTTGTTTCTGATTTCAAATTTTGAAATCTGACCCACCTTCTCTCTCTCTCTCTCCCCATCAACCCTTGCAGGCAACCGAACCCAAAACCCCTATTAGTCTCTTCATCTTCTCTCTTCCTTCATTCTCTCTTCCTAATCGTCATCTTCTCTCTTTCGACCGAATGGAGCAACTATATATATGACTCAGAGATGGGAGATTCAGAGATGGGACCGAATGTATGTATATATATGCATTTGTATGTATTATGTATGATTATGTGATTTTATATATGATTATGGATGATTATGGATGTATATGTATATATATGTAGATTTTATATATGATTATGGATGTATATATAGATTTTATATATGATTATGGATGTATATGATTCCAATATGGGGCGTTTGTTGGATCGAAGTGAGAGTTGTTTTGAATGTTACGACATTATATGACTAAGAGATGGGAGATTCAGAGATTCACATTAAATGTGAGATATTAGTTTTGAATGTTAAATATTCTTGGGAATGATCATGATTATGATTCTGCCATTAATTTCTGCTTAACTATTTTGAGTGGAGCTGGGGCAGTTCATTTCTTGAGTGAATCTTTTGAATAATCGGTGGCCCAAATTTTAATGTCTCATCAGATGATAATCAATGTAATCAACTTTTTTTTTTTCCTTTTTTTTTTGGGAGAGGGGGGTAATGGGTTTGGATTTTTATCTATCTGTGGTTTAGAAAAATAATGAAAAGATGAGAATGTGTTTTTTTTCTTGAAAGTCATATTTTGGATTGTACCTACCCAAAAATATTTTGCATTGAATTTTCATTTTCTTGAATTGTACAATGGCAAATTATCGATTCTCTCTCTCACTTGATCATCTTACAGATAGACACTTGCAATGGTTTTTACTGCGAAGCCTTCAGACCGAAAAAAGAGCCATAACCCAAAAATGTGGACTGAAGCTTGGACTGGCTAGTAAGTCACACATATGTCACCCATATAACTTAAAAACTTTTTTTTTCCCCCTATTTCTTTGTTGTTTTAATTATAAATTGTTTCATCATTCAAACAACGGAACGCAGTTACATTTTTTCTGAATTTCTTAATTCAGTCTTTGGATTCCTCTGTTTTATCCTCAGGTATACAAAGTTTGGTGGTCCAATTCCTCAGAGACCTATTGAAGACTTGGCATTTTCAGTGGCAAGGTTTATACAGAATAATGGTTCCTTTATTAATTATTATATGGTGAGTTAATTCTTAATTGTATGTTTATCTTATATCAAGTAAAGTATATTTTTTATATTTCTTTTTTTTTTCTTTCATTAGTACCATGGAGGAACAAATTTTGGACGGACGACTGTTGGTCTCTTCATTGCCACTAGCTATGATTATGTTGCCCCAATTGACGAATATGGTATGCATACACATGAAAATAACTTGATTATATTATGCTGAGGTTTTTGTTTGTATTACAATCTTTACTTAAGTAATTAAGATTTAAGATTGTTGCCAATGCATACAAGTAGTCTATTTGTGCAAACACACATTGCATGGAAGGAATGGGACCGTATAATGTAGCACATGAGATCATTAGCACAATTATTCTACCTGGGAGCAGAATAAAGATTTTTGTTTTGTGGACTATAAATGATGTTTTTCATAATTGACAATCAAAAGAAGTAAACAATTTGAAGTGATAATAAAAAAACAATACACAATTCAATATCACATAAACACCAATCACATAGAAGTATTATTCAATCGTTCAATCCCCAGATATAATTTTTAAACTAAACAGGCAAGAGAGTGAAAGAGATTGAACATCGATGGCATGAAAAGATTGGTTCACCTTTGCAAGAGCATCTCATTTTTGGGGAACAAGAGAGGAAATAGAGAGAAAAACAAAGAAGTAAAAGAGAAATGAGGGAAGGATAAAAAAGAAAAAATAATCTCAAGAAAAAGTTCTTACTTAGCAAAATAACATACAAGCAATTGTAAGGACTTCATTGAAGCAAAGTGGACAATATAAGATTCATGGGCAAAAATAAAATCTGAAAGGGTAAAATTGGAAACTTTTTTCACAAATATATGTCAAAATAGAATTTTTTAAAAGTTCAGTTGGGGCATTTGAGAAATTTGCACACTTGCCAGTTGCCATTTGCTAGCTCTGCCCATGATATTCTGCCTGTATGTATGTTATATGGTAGGGCTTTTCTGATGCAAATAATGATATTTTCGGCATTTTTATGATGGGTAATTTATCATATGCAAGGATTACAAAGGGAACCAAAATGGGGACATTTGAGAGATTTGCATAAATCCATCAAGCTATGTGAACCGGCTTTAGTTTCTACATATCCTACAGTGACTTGGCCAGGCAATAATCTCCAGGTTTGATTAACTCTTCTGAGGCTACAAGAAAGCTATGCATGTCTACTACAATTTTCTTCATGTGCATCTTTTTGACAATCATCGATATTAGCTCCTTTTCTCATTATTTTTCATTTTCGAGGTTCATGTATTTAACTCAAAGTCTGGTTGTGCTGCATTCCTTACAAACTACGACACAAAATCTTCAGCAATAGTGACCTTCCAAAATATGTGATATGACCTCCCTCCTTGGTCCGTCAGCATTCTCCCCGATTGCAAGAATGCGGTTTTCAACACCGCAAAGGTAAGGAAATAGGGTTTTCCCTTTAAAAAACATTCTTTGAAAAAAAAAATC